GGCTCAAAACTTGTCAACCCTTGAATGTGACATCTGCTGTTTTCTAGTCTAAAGATTCAAATCCCTGTTCTCGATGATTTATAATGGCTGATGCAATACATATGTATCTTCTTTTTCTTTTTCTTTTTTAATATGTTTATAAGGGACAGATTCGAATTATTATCCCAAAAAAGAAGAATGCACTTTAACTTGGTTTTATTGTCACTAAATCCAAAAATCCAAACGCCAAAGTGCACCCGTGTATCTTAGTTGGTTGTACATTTTTACGAAACTTTTTATCGCAAAAAGTGGTTAAGAAAGTCATATAGAAAAAGGATACTAACTGATTTTTTTTTTTTAAAAAAAAAGTTAGCACATTACAAGTATTACAAGTATTTAATGATAAGTTTTAAACTTTTATAATAAAATTTTGTTAAAACTCTTGTTGGTAAGCACTTGCCATAAAAACTCAAATATATGGATCCACCATTAAATAAATGCCATTTTATATATCAAATTTATGTTCAAGTTTTGAGATCATTACTCAAAAACAATAATTTTCTTAAATATATCAGGTCTATGTGAGGGTATAAAATTGTTTGAGAAAAAATTAGTCTTGAAATACATAATATTTAACCTAAGCATACTTTAATCATAAATACCAATAAAATAAAAAAAGGCACTTAGACATGTAAGTTAAAGGAAAGTTGTCACATAAGTCTTGATAGGGAAACTAATGTGAAAGAAAATGGTATTTATCGAGGATTTTGTGGGGGGCAAAACTAAGCTAATTAAAAATGTCAATTTGATTCTTTATTTATTGTAATATCAAATTGTAAATACCAAACGCTGGTGAAAGGGAAGAGGATCCCAATTCTAAAGATCAAAGTGTAAATACGGAAATAATCAACCCAAAACTTTCCTAAATAGGAAAAATATTAGTGTTGGCAACCAAATACACTCTTAATTAAGATATTTTGGTTTTTATTTACCTCAATATCGAGTAATAAATAAAGGATAGTGTTTACATTTTCACTCCAATTTTCTCTTCCATCACAACAATCTTGGCTGGAAATTTTCTCACATTACTCTTGTTGGTATTCTTAATATATAACAAGGTTATCTACTTAATAATATAAATATTTGAATTTTTAACTTTTATTTTAAATTAAAAATTTTAAATTAATAAATACTGACTCAACCAAATTCTTGTTGATATATCACCCTCAATGGTATTCATGTATTCAATTGGCAACCTTTTTTTTTTGCTTTTCAAAATGTGTAACACTAAAGTTAAGGAAAATGATTCAAAAATAATTTAATTATTATATATAAAAATTATATAAAAAAAATTATATCTACATATTAATTACTCTAAAATTAATAATTTTAACAAAACTTT